CACGGCAAACGCATTGCCATCAGAACGGGGAAGCAAGCAGAACGGCAAAAATGCCCAGAAATAGCCTCTCGCAGCTGCTTGATTACTGTTTTGCTCTGATTTTCTATATAGACGTGCTTCCGAAACAACAACAGAGACGCTCCTTATCAACAAGCTTTGCTCCTCTGATTACTGCAACACAATACAGTTCACGGTGAAGCATTGTCCCTCCGACGATTCCCGTCTGTTTTATCGCTTTCTCTTGTCTCCATCACTTACTCCTGTCCTTTCCATCCCTCCAGTCCCTCCTCCACCTTAATAATACCAGTTAATAGGGGCAGGATGAAGTAATCAATCCTATTTCCATCCTTATAGATGGCACACCAGCGGACTACATCTGCCCAAATAATCCCCTCTTGGCCCTCCCCCCCTCTGTCTCTCTCTCCCACTCCACTTCCACATGCACACAGTTGGACACCTTTTTGTACCCCAGGGGGAGTCATTCTATATCACAAGGGGAACTGTAACAGGATTTCTGCAGGATCCTGGGTCAGAGTGGGTGGTCATACCTAACTGAATAAGGAGAATGAGAAAATCAGATCATCAGCAATAAAAGCTGATTTATTTCTTTATTGCGTGCAGGCTGGCAGTGGTTGCTACCTGCTATGGGATCAACCGAAAATCACAATACGCTGGTAATAGGATTTATTAGCTGGAACGGAATGAAAAATGGCCAAATGTGCTCAAAACATGTTCACACGCACAAGGTTTGTCTCATTGATATTCAAACAGATGACAGCAAACTGTGCTGTATTGTTCTAAAAATCAGTATGATCACACACAAAAAAAAACATCCAAAACCACAGAAACTATCACTTTCTGAATAAAGTGTGAGCTTCAGCCATGAACTTGTGTGCATGCAAAATGAGACGCGAACAAACATGAGCATCACCCTCACACGCAACTACACAGGCTCAGGCAGTGACTATCACTGCAGCAGGAGCAGAGACAAAGAGACAGCGTCTCACTGAGAGGAAATGTGGCTTGCAAATAAAAAGGTCTATTGCACACACGCACACACATACGCACGCACACACAGTGATGAAATTTACCATCTCTTTAACTGTTATTTTTTTTCAGCCTTACTTTTGGTAAGTACTGGAAATGAATCTCCACTAAATCAGACATGGTCCTGCTTCACTGTCTGGTTTTGCTGCGCCATGCAGCCTGTAAGGATGGACTGTAGTTTTTTGATGGATAAAGGGAAGACAAATGTGCAGGAGAAGAAAGAGAAGCAACAGCAGGGATAAGTTATTAAGTTAAAACAAAGAGGAATGGGTCGAGAGATTGATGAGCATGTTTAGAAATGAACTGACTCGTCTGGGCTGGAGGAGAAAATTAGAAGGAGGAGGAAGACGTATTATAGATCCAGACAGGGGTGGCATGACGGAGAGGAGAAAAGAGGGTGTCTGTCCATGCTGGTTGCTGGTAGCACCGCATTGTTATTAGCAAAGCCCCTCCACCCACTACCCTCACTCCTGTCGCAGAGAAAAAATGTTAACTCTTGCATGTCTGGTGGGTGAAACTGTACGAGGCAGGACAAAGAGGAGAGGAGAGGAGTTCATTTCAGATGCAAAGCTGTGCAGATAAAAAACTGCAATGGCAGTGGAATTCTCTGCGGGACTGTAAGGAATGTGGTCGCACAAACCTGCAGACAGTCAGACATGAAAACTGCGAAGGTGAGACAGCCCAGACAAAGAAAAGCTGAGTGTAACTTAAACAGGCTGAGTCACTTCTGCTTATTTTTAGGGAAATACTCTAATAGAACAAATGATGCTGCAGAGGGCAAAGAGGGGGGTGGAAAGGAATGGGGATGTGAGGCATTCTAGTTAGTATTGTAATGTGCAAATGTGTGTATGCATGTGTAATGTGCAAGTGGCAAACCCCAGGGGTGTGGGGGGAGGGAGGACTGGCGAAGGATCAGTGAGAGGTGAGCAAAGAATAGAGCGAGATGAGGGTTTTTGGGGAGGGTGATGATGTGCAAAGAGAAAAAGTAATATTTGGAAGTGGCTGTAAGGAATGTCTGTTTTCATACAGTGAATAAAGGGAGGTGAGACAATACAGGACAGGGCCAAGAGCTCCTTTGGGATCAGGAGGCACATGAGCTGCTGTTCTCATAGAGGAGTTTATTTTTGGGAGCACATTCAAGGCTCAAAAAAGAACGTAGACGAACGAGTGTGGAAAAGTATCATGAAAAATTAATGCTGTGGACTTAACTGAAGTTAACTACAGCTCCTGCGGTTCTGTCTTTGTAAAAACATTGTTGCTCACGCTTGCATGCTCTAGGTTCATTCATGGAAATGCCTTCATTTGCCTAATAAGACTACTAAAAGAGATCAAATGACCTAAAATACAAAAATGGATTAAAAACAGAAACATCTGTAGCACTTGCCTTGAACTGACTGCACATATTCAGCAAATGGATGCACACACACACACACACACACAAGTGGAAAGGGTCTTTCATGTCGGCGCCCCACGGGACAGGGAAGTGTGTGTGTCTGTTTGTGTGTACATGTGTGTGTGTGTCATCGGCGGAGGCGTGCCTCTCCGTTCACCCTCTGATATCTCGCCTGTGACTGCAGGGGAGGAGCTAAAAACAAGCTCATCGCCACCTTCCAGACAAAAGCAGTGTGAATTTGAGAATGTGTGTTTGCATGTGTGTTGACACTTCATTCACACTGAATTCACACAGACACTCACAGATACTATACATCCTCATACTGAGCAAAGACGTCTCTGAGCTGTTTAATTATGGGTGATCTCAACCGCAAACGATGCTCTTGTTATCAAAAGCCACTGCCAATTCCATCTGAAAAACACTGTGCTCTAAATAAGAGTGGAAAGCAAAGCAACACAGGATTAAAAATAAATTCCACTGTGCACCTATAACCTATAACTGAGAGGCATACTGACATAGTTTTCTTTCCTACTCTCCTTCAGCTCTCTATTTTTGCCCTCCCTGCCTCCTCTCCTCCTTCTTCTCCTCTGTTCTGTCCTATAAAATGACCTTGAAGGTCGCACCGGTACGCTACACTCCCGGGCTTTGTGACAAACTGTCTTACCTGCAGAAACACACATACACACACACAGTACATATGCACCTGGAACCGAGCACTTAAACAAAACTCACACACACAGACACGCACACCGCTGCGAGTGGTTTTCCTGGCAGAGATCTGCTGAATTGATTGCTGTTCTGACATAGCAGAGGTCAGATGTAATGAATCAATCACACATGCATCAGCATCTAGAACAGCAGCTACAGCAGGCGGCGCGCGGCTACAAGCCGAGGCCATGGGATCTGCTGCCCTGCTTTGATGCAGTGTCAACCTCCCCATCAACGTGACTGGGAGGGATTGGCGAGATTTAGTCAAATGAAGTGGAAGATCCATAAATGTGGGAAGTCTCTGATATTGCGATCAATATAGGCAGCAGACAATCTCGATAAACACTTAAAAAAAAAAAGAACTTCCCACACATTTTATGTAGAACATCTCAGGGGTGGAATCATATCAGATTCTAAACAACTTCTACACAGTTGCAGAACTGCAAATATTAGCAACAACAACTGCAGGCAAGTAAGAAACAAATAGACAGTCCCTAACAAAGAAAGGAAAACTGCCCCTGAACTGTGTCAAGGACAAGCTGATCATCAGACGCCGATCAATCAGGACAAGAGACATCAAAGTGAGGAAGACCCTGCCCTCATTGTGCTCACCTTTATTTGATCCATCACTTCTTTTCTTTCCTCTGCCCTCAAGCCTCCAAGCAGCGAGTGCAGAAGTAACTGTAACAATACAAGTGTGTTTGAGGTTCCTCAGGCTTTGCACAGAAGTAGTGAGAACTAGAAGTGAGGTCTTTACAAGTCTGCAGAAGTCTCACAGTACAAAGCTGATTACATTCCTCTAGTTCTGTCTAAAGAAAGCATAAATAAATTAAGAAATCAAAAAAAAAATACAGCAGCATTTCTAACACAGAAGAGCATCTGGGCACTTTTTTTTCACACATAAAAGTTAAAGGTTGTGGCTTTAGGAATCTGCCAAAACATTTAACAAAACATAAAAATTGCGTACAATAAATAGCATCTCCCACTAAATTCCTTCATCCTATATCTGATGTCACCTCTCAGTACAGTGGATCATAGCCGGAATAAGGTCTAAAGCCTTTAATCTATGCTTGATCATTAGCAGCACCCACAGAGACTTGACCTGCTCCATCCATCACACCAACCTGCTCGTCTTTCTCACCTCACTTTTCCCTCCAACCTTTTTAATCTCACTTAGGATCTGCGTGTCAACTTCCAGCCTCATCTTTACCAGAATATCTATTTTTGTTGTTTTTTTTAAATCACAAATTTCCTCACACATTGCACTGAATCAGGCCTGCGCAATTAAACTCAACATATCCATACGCAGCTGCTGTGACGAACCGAGACCCAAATCCTTACAAGCAAAAAAAATAAAATAAAAATATGTGCGACACTTCTTCTTCATGCTGGCCTGCAAAAAGCATCGTGGCAAAAACACCCGCAGTGTTTTTTTTCTCTCTCTAGCAGTGCGACTTACCTCCTGCTTTCTCTGTAGTGTTGATTCATTGAAGAATGTCGGTCAGAATGCAGGAGTTGCAAAACGAAACACAAGCGCGTTTTTTTTTTCTTCTTCTTCCTCCACTCCCCTCCTCACTCTCTGTGGACGCATGGAGAGAGAGAGAGAGGGAGAGAGAGAGAGAGGTAATGCGGAGAGGAGGAGGAGGAGGAGGAGGAGGAAGAGGAGGAGGAGGAGGAGCGGTGCTGATGCTGCAGCCGACACCTGGCTGAGCATCCCTTCTGCTCAGATGCTCGGGCTTTTTCCTCTCATTTGTAACACTTTTGCGCCCTCTGCTGGATCAAAGGAGAAATGCATGAGGAGTCTGCACACACTCAAAAGGCAGAATTCAATCATAGATGCCAAAAACGAGGATTCTGGATTCTGAAAAGCTGGTTTTATTTACAGAAGTGATGCATGAAACAAAACAAAACAAAACAAAAAAGTGATACAGAGTCAAAACTATTTAGGCATTTTAGACTCGTGCTTTCTGTCCACCAAAGTTTCTGTGTGTAGGATTTGTTTGCAGGAGAAGTGTCCCATTCTAAGGATGCCCAGGTTTGCCTCCTTGCTGATGATACCAGCAGATGGCACCAAAGTAAAGAAATGTGAAACAACAGAGGGGGTTACAACATTTCTCTCTTTCTTTGTTAGGAGTTTGCAGCTGCTCAGAAGCTGCACGCGATGCTGCTCTGTTGCATCTGCAGGCCACAGGCATGATTGCAAATATGCTTACTTCAAGTTCCAGTTACTCGTTTTTCTAGTGCTTTCAGGGCCTTCCTCAGCAGATGGAGTTCCAGCAGTCATATAGTCATTTAACCTACAGTAAGTGTGAACCTTCGACCACCTCCATGTCAACGCTGATACAACTGAGCTATCTCCATGACAACTGAGCAAATCTCCATCTGCTGATGAAGGCTGTGAGATGCCTATAAGCTGGTAACTGGACCTAAAGATTTCAAGAGTGAACTTCCAACTTCTTGACATAAGGATGAGGAGACGCTATTAGAAAGATACAGATTTGTGAATAAATGCAGCAAGATGAAAACTCTTTTCAGCGAGGCAAAGCTGAGTGAAGGAAAACTGAACCACAAACATGAATAACAAAATGAGAAACCACTCATAATAAATGACCCATTGATGTAAACCCAATACACAGAATTTTACTATTAATTTTAAGCACACTGGAAGAGCCAAAGAAATAGCCAGCAATAATAACTACAAAAAGTCTGATAAAAGTGAAGCAAAATGACATAAACATGAAGCAGCTGGTCATCAGCACTGATGATAGTATTTAAACATCAAAAGCCTCATAACGCAGCATGACTTCTGTAAAAGGAGAAACTTTTAAAGCAGCATCAAAGGAACATTTATTTATATATGCGTATATATATATATATTTTTTTTTTTTCAGAAAATAACACTGAGGTTTCACAACAGATAGATATATTTTGATATGCACATGATTCCTTTCTTTACTGTGAGAGTTTGTCTGTGAAACTACACATTTGTTATTAAAGAATAACAAAATAAAAAGAAGCTAATGCTTAATTTCAGTCATGTTTTGTGTAAAGTATGAAGAGATTGTTGCTGTAATCACGTGACGTCACAGATTTTTATTACAAAACTACACAATTTGTTACTGCCACAGTCACAGCAACATATCACTCTCCTAGTTTTGTAACTGCAACTTTTTTTTTGTTGTATAAGTAATAAATGTAAGGCACATGATAAAAGAGTGTTCAAGGCCATGACTTTGTTGCCTTCATCACCCGAGGACACACACTTTCCGTTGCACTGATCATGTAAACATAAGAAGCACAATGTCGGACACATACAGAGAAGTAAAACAGAAGAAAATCTAAAGACAGACGCAAGTCATTCAAAATAACAAAAAGCCTTTTCTCCGATTTACAAATAATTTACTGCAAGAAATATACACAACTTCTTATATACACAATTTGACTGACAGCTACTTAGTTGTGAAGGATTCTCAAAACAAACTGCTATCCAGATTCAAATGATGAGATGAGATTGATTTTACACATCGAGATCTGTTATTTAGAAATAAAGTTGCGCAATGTCTTTTGTAGTGACAGAGGGAGCTGGTTGGAGTTGCATTGTGGGTAATGTAGGCAAGCTCTAACACTGCACAGAGTCAAATGAAGAATACATCTAGTTCTGCTGCTTCAGTTTTGATATTTAATTTTTGTTCATTTTAAACCCACAATGTTATGGGAGAGCAATATAAACTGTTGGACTAATCTTGTGAATTAATTAAAAGAGAGAGAGAAAAAAAGATTTCTAAAAGTATTCGATACTTTAATGACAACAAACAAAAAAAAAAGATGCAAATAAATGTACAAGTGTGTCAAATTCCACCTCATCAATTTTTTCGTAAGCTTTCACTTACCTGTAAATGTTAAGCTGAATCAGATTCATAATTTGAAAAACCACAATAGAGACGTTTTAGGAAGGGTGTAATAAAAACACATCACGAAACATGAAAACAGATGTCGAACAAATTCAGGACAAACATATTCTACCGAACATGCATTTAAAAAAGAAGAGGACAGTTGGCAAAAAAAGTTGTTGTTTTTAAAAAGACAAAACTAATTGTTACAAGCTACATATGCAAAAACACAGCAGCCAGCACTGTGAAAATCCACCATCACCTATCTCCGGGTGAGGAACCATCCAATCAGATGTCTTGTAACAGCAGTTTCTGCATTCTAAGTTGCAGACTGATGGCTTATGATTGCTGATGATTGCTTCTTGAGAAGACAAAATCCTGCAGTGAAACCACATTGAGTAACTGCAACAGGACATCAGCTCATATGGTATCAATGCAACACTTTAGATTTAAAACTGGATACGCAGAAACTGTAAGATGTGGCTTCCTGCTGCCCCACTTATACATGCAGCCACTGATTTTTGAATTACATCACTGACAAGCCAAGTGTTTTTATGTATTGTGCGTTGTGCCAACTCCCTCTAATCAGGGAGGACAGTCAGAGCAGCATTTCAAAACGAGTTACATAAGAATTGGTATGTTTTACAGAATGTACCAATCTGTATTTATTACTGACACGAGTTATCAGCTTTTTAGAATTATAAAGATATATATAGCTGTGTTTTAACAAAAAAATGAAATATAAAAATGCATTGCTGCAGGACGTCTTGGCAGCCAGACGTCAGCCCATAGTTCTACTCCCAGCAATGTAACCCAGACACACTCCAAAGAAGTAACTACATCCCAACATGAAGAGACACAGATAATATCATCTCCCGCTATCTCCAAACCTCCCTTAAACACTGACATGTTTAATGTCTCCAACACGATTCCTCCCTGCTCAGACAGCCAAGCGATAGTGAGCAGTTGAAGCTCAAGGCCAAGCAAAAGGGGGTAATGACCTTCTTGAGGATACAGAACAGGTCAATTGAGGCTGTTTTGGCACGAGTATTACTGTCAGTTTTCCGAGTTCTACCCAGCAGTCGAAGGGGAAAGTCAGAGGTTTGTGAATTTGAGGTCCAAGTTACTTATCATTGCTTTGCCCAGAAGGGAGTACCACCAGTCAGGGACTGGGAGTTTTCCTGTCAAAAATACTCCAACGCAGACAGACTAATGTCAACGCTGGTTGGCATGGAAGCAGTTCTCTACAGATCTCCATCATCCTCCTCCATGGCGCCAATGCCATTGTGCAGGAAGGCCTCCTTTTCTGGGGACATTGGTTCTAATTCTTGGTCGTGCTTGAAGCCGTTCATCTCTGTGTCTGGAGACGAGCGAGCAACAGCCGCCTCGGTGCTGTGATGAATGCCGTAGCAGAAGTAGATCACAAAACCTGAAAAGGCAGAGCAAGACACAAGTCTGTCAGTGTAATACAGTCACTTGTGTGTTTTTCAGCTCATGCCAACGGATTTTGTAAGCTCTCAGGTAATGGAAGCTGCCAGATGGGATGATGATGCATTCAAGCCTTTGTAATGCTTTTGTTTTCTTAGCAAAATAATAATCACATTTACTTTAAGTTTTCAACAACATGCATGCTTCATTTTGGCTGGCAACACACAAAACACGTTGTCAGATGCTTTTCCAAATGCACCACTAAAGACACGCTTCATAACAGTCCCTGCTGTCAATTGTGACAACACACTGCAATAAAAAACAAAACAGCCTGCACATTTCGAGCAGCTTCTGCGAGTAAACTGCAAAGAGGTCTGCGAGCATCCATTCTGTAGCCAGACATACTCAAATGAAAGACATCAATTCAAAAAAACTATTTCAACTTTGGAGAACGATTTCTGCTTGATGACAGGGTGTGATGGACAGTGATGGAGTACAGCTACCTATAGCCATCCAGACTGAAAATCTGATCCAGGTGCCTCTATCCAGCTGCATCATCAGGTAGACATTGACAAACATGCTGATCACTGGAATGAAGGGTAGCAGGGGAACCTAAAAGTGAAAATTTTGCAGAAGAGGAAAAGATAACAGCTTGTAATAAGACATAGCAAACATTAAACCTAAGGGGCTGGAAAAAGATCTGGAATCCAACCTTAAAGGAGAGTTTGGTCTTGCTCTCAGGCTGCCTCCAGATGATGAAGACAAGGACGAGACACACCATGAAGATGACGCTGAGGGCTACAATGTTCCACCCCGCAGCTCCTCCCTGCACTGCCAGTATGCTGAATACCAGGATCAACGAACCTGCAGAAAGACAGAAGTTATATTACTTCATGTGTAAATCTGCAAAAGAGCTCAGGTGAGAATATTTTAAATAAATTCATAAAACAATCCATGGATTCAAAGCAAACAAAGAGTCTCGCTATCTTCTTTACAAAAGCACCACCATTGTGAGTCATTGTATTTTATCACTGCAGTCTTGGTATGGTGTCCTACCCAAGGCAGAGGCACAGATGTTGACGCTGAATCCTGACAGCGAGGATGGTTCAGGGTTGTCTGGAAACAACAAAGTCTTGAAGCTGAACCTCTCCTCCACGCCAGGCAGGATGCCCATGCTGGGGACGCTGATGCCGTCGCTCATCTCCCCTTCGTCCTGTGTGTTGGCCATCTGATACATCAGGCTGGGCTGCTCAGGCTGGTACCTGAAGCAACAAAAACACACACAGTTGTTGTACCATTGGAGCTTTACTCTGTATTCACGCCACTGAAATGAGTTAGAGATAATGCAGTGATAGATTATTATAACACTTAGGGCTACTGTCAATCACAACACAGCAACAGCAGTTTTATCCAGTCGTGTAAATCAACGGACTACGAAATCGCTTTCAACATGAATGCGGAGCTGAGTTTCACTGGTTGCTAAAAAAAGATACAGACACATGTGCTGGCTGGCTCACAGTGTGAAGTGTTTCGGCCTCGGGCTGCACCAACTTCAATACAAAAATCAGCTGCCTGCCAGCATGATTTCCACCTCACATTGATGCATGACCAAGTATGGACAGGTTCAAAGCCCAGTGTCCCCGGTTGAACTCGACATGCTGGGATCTCCTCACTGACCTGAGCACCAGGACACAGGCAGCCACCAGCGTGTAGGCCAGCAGCGTCCCTATTGACATCAGGTCCACCAAGTCCTTCAGGTCGAACAGAAACGCCATGATTGCTTCAAGGTGCAAGAAAAACAGAGAAAAAAAGAGAGACAGAAGCGTGAGAATGATTGTTTGATTACAACAACCTTTGAGAGGTCCTCTGATTTTCCATTAACGTTTTACCATATTGTAGAATTGTAGAAACATGCCACTAAACTAAACCGTGGGTGATATTTACTAAACATCAGCACATTGTCATTGTGAACATGGTGAAACGCTGACAATAACATTAGGTTCAGTACAGCACAGTGTCACGCAACTGCTGGCTTCCGTGTAGACAGCACAAAGGGTCACAAACATGTTTGTCATAGGTAGGAAACAAATCAGATACGCAGCAACTAGTGTAACTCACATAAGTAGAGATGACACACAAAAAAAATCCATGCTGAATGCTTTAACTGCTCTTTTTTGTGTTGCTCTGTGTAATTAGCAGACAGTAATGCCTGCTGACGGAGTTTAAAGTTAACCTTGCGTGCTATACTCCTTTTTTTCTTTTGCTCTTAATTATCTTTAATTTAGCTTCATCTCCTACCTTCCTCCTCCTCACTCTGTGCCCTGGCCCTCGTAATTAAGCTCTCTCCCTCTCTACGCAAATACAGACTTTTGTTTTTCGCAAACCCTCCTCATATTCTCTCTTCATCTTACCAGACATTACTCCGGCGGCAATAGTGGACGTTATGGGGGATTTCCTCTCGCTGACTTGGGCCAAGAAGGAGAAGAGCAGGCCATCCCGTGCCATGGCAAAGATGATACGGGGTAGGGGGAACATGGAACCCAACAGACTGGGGTAGAACGAGGGAGGGGACAACATGAGATTGGGAAGGCAATCGTAGGTGTAGGGGCAGAGGAAGAAGAGAAAAAGAAGGAGGAAATGAAAGAGATGAGTTGGGGTCAGGGAAAGAATTAGGGAAGGAGGGGAATATGTTTGGCAAGTGTTGGGATGGGAGTTCGTGCAAAACAGGAGGCAGCACAGGTGCATGATGAGGGCCAAGGATGTTCTGAATGCAAAATCTCTCCCCCTTTAGTAGTAAATATGCTCCACATGCTGTTACTCTTGGTCTACTGCACAGATATTTAGTACTTGACCATGCAGTTCAGTTTGGTATGTTTCTCCTTAAAATACCAAGATGCAACGCCTATCAACTGAGCCATGTTAGAAGAACAAGAAAGTAGAGACACAATAACCCAAACTGCCTTAGCTAACTAAGAAGAGACCTGGACATGTAAGACAGGATTAGAGACACCGTTTTTCATGCTTTAAGTGGCAGGTTTGTTTGAGACACAACCTACAACTGGAAGACCGGGATGCTGAACCCAGCACAGCTCAGCCCCTTGCAGCATGAAAAAAAAAAGGTTTGGTAAACATGGATGCTGTTTTAAGACATGCGTGTTAGTGTCTCACCTGCACCCATGCCAGAGGTGAGGGTTGCAATTAGCGGGGTTTTGGTACGGGGGCTGATCTCGGCCATGAACTTGAAAAGCAGCCCGTCGTCAGCCATAGCCCAGATCACACGGGGCATAGGGAACATAGCACCCAGCAGGCTGCCATGGGGGGGAGACGAGGATATATAGTATCCACACTTACACCCAAGAGAATGTCGTAAAGAAACATACATGAAGAGAGACAGCGGCTCACACATACAAGGGACACCATACAGTAAACATACAGTAAATTACAACATAGGATTAGAACTTAACACACTGTATACTAAGTTAAATACCTACAAGTGCATGTAGGAACATATTTAACCCTCTGAAATCCAAAAAAACACCAGCAACTTTTAGAGGTATATTGTTTTGCTGGTCTGCAGAGAAACTTCCCCAAATGTAGCTTAAAATTCATTAAAATCAATTTATTCTGCATGTCTCATTTAACAATTTGACAAAAATAAACAATTTGCTGATTCTGTCAAATACAAAAGATTCAGCACTCCTCTGTGTAACCGAGCAGGAGTTAGTGGCTCAGCTGCAACCAAGAGCCATGTGACAAAGTTCAGTTTGCAATTTAGAGGTTAGATCATGGACATGTAAAGAAACAAACAAAAAATAGTGAAACATCTACAGTACTTAGAGTCTGAGAATGTTGTAAGCGTAAGTTTTTTTTTTGTTTCTTTTTAATTCAAATAAATATTTTTTTGAAAAGTCCTTTATGAGTCCTCTCTACTTCTAGCTGTTTCCCGAACAGTGAATAAAGAGCCCACAGTGAGTAAAAATGAGCAATAAACGCCTAGAAATGTTTGGGGTTCAGAGGGTTAATATAAAAGCACACATCCATGCAAACAAATTAACTATGTACACATGTCAAATTAAGAATACATGTAATTCATACATGTCCATTATAATTATGCCTTCATCAAAATAATGCTAAACATATATGTAACATAATATTTGCATAAATACTAAGCATGAATCAATAAAAACTGAATATTAATAAAAATGCAACTCGTAGCTGCCTGTATAGGTCCACGTTGCATAATCACATACAACTGATGCAATTATATTCTAAGCAGTGCTTTTATTTTTGGTTGAGGGATCGAATGCCCTCTCAAGTTAAATATACACTCGCACACACAGAAACGTTTCTGAGTGTGCATGTGTGTGCATGTTTGTCCAAGAATAAACCCAGAGTCCATGAGCATGCATTTTTACAAATAATAGCGGACCGGTACAAGTGTAATGTGTGTAAGTGCTTACCTGGTAGACAGAGCACAAAGAGAGCCTACAGCTACGGCGTATTTGGCTCCTCCCCAGCCCACGTATTTGAAAGCTACAGGCAGAGGGCTGTTGCTGTCCAGCAGGTAGTATGGCATCATGAGGGTGAGCGCGGCAGAAACACCGAAGTACGCCACAAAGCAGATGAGCAACGAGGACACGATGCCGATAGGAATGGCTCTCTGGGGGTTCTTCACCTCTTCACCTAAGCAACAAACAGACACAGTTAAGGGGAGAATTGCAACCTTATGTATGTATTGCTTCACCAAGTGCTGCAATATCTGTCATTAAAAGAAAAAAAAAAAAGAATAAAACTCCTGCCTATAGGAATTTCAAGACAAGCTCAGCAAACACTACAAACATATGTTCTCACTTAAAGCAATACAGAAACTGACAAAGCATATGAGGCCAAACAACCGACTGCAATAAACCGTCTAAAGGAAAGTCAAATCTATACTATTTGTTGGCAGAGCAGAATCTGCTTTTAAAGAAAAGAAAAAAGAAGAAAAAAAATGCTTAAAGACATAAAATACAGTCGACTGGACAGAAGTCTATTACTTTCAACTGGCAAATATGCATTGTTAATAGGAGCTGGAACTGCATGCAGACACATAACTGGTAGAGTTCAAGTTGCCCCGGTCAGCTAGGTCACCAACACACATTTTCCCCAGTGTCACATATCGTGCAAAACTGCACTCTTGAGAAGAACATTTTATTACAAGTAACTGAACACTTATGTCTGTGAATAGTTGCAGTTGAATTGATGATTTTATTTTGAAGGATATGATCACTTCTATTTTATCAAAAATGTATTTGTGCAGCTCTTTTGTTTTTTTTTCTTACTACATCAGCCTAAAATCGATCTGATGCTATTTGTTGGCAACTAACCACTCACACGTCTTTGCAAAGTTTGTCCAGATTCTTAATTTTACACGCCATTCCTTTATGGCTGAATTTCAGTGAAAGTTGAAAACTGGGCCAACAGATGTTAGGAAACATTTAGTGTGGCATTTTGCAATAAATTCAACAAGTAGCTTATTTTTCCCTGTGGACCCGCAAGACTGAAACACCGAACTGTTCAGCTGCAGGCGATTATGCAACAGAGGTCCTCAGGCGAACATTCAGGCCTTGTTCTGCAGTGAAATCACATCATTACGAAGACATGTGTGAGACTGACGTGTACATTTGAGGACAAGGTTACAGCTAGTGACTGGTCCAATTGTAAGGTAAGAGGTCGTAACCATGACAGCAGCAACAGTCGTGTGGATGTATGTGTGTGTGTGTGTGTGGAGGGGGAAGGGGGAATGGCTTCATGCCAACTTAACTCCAGCCTGAATACACACACATGCACATAGATGATATAATGGCTGAGGGGTGCTTGCAAGTGTGCGTGACAGACATGCCTATACAAGCCAAAACCAAGCAAACATTTCAGGGTTAACTTCATGTTAGCCAATTAGAATTCAGGAAAAAGAGGGGTGGGAAAAGCCAGTGGGCCAGAGAGGAGCAGGCAAGCTGGAAGAAATCTGTAAACGCTTCCCTTCTGACAACCAATCTAACGGAACGCGATGGTCTAGGACATACATAAGTTCACAGGTGGACATCTGCACAGCCAAGAAAAAGCCAAGGAACATTTTCTTCTCAAATCTTAAAAACATTTACTCCCCCAACATGCCTCACAATATCTGGCCCTCTGCCGGGAGCAGAAGTAGGCCAAATGCACTAAAGTGCATCTTTTCTTTCTGCTTTGCCCTTCTTATGTAATACTCCTGGATGTTTAGACAAGGTTAGGATTGAAATGGTTCCAACCCTAGATTCAGTTACACCCTCCCTGACACATGAAACTTAACCATGAGCCAGTCAAAGGGATATAAGACGTGGAACGAGGTGAGAATAGAACCAAAAGAAAGAATGTTTTCAGGTTTTATCCAGTTCTGACCTGTGGTGGCGATGCAGTCAAATCCTACAAAGGCATAGAAGCAGGTAGCAGCTCCCGACAGGACACCCGTGAAACCAAACGGCATGAAGCCGCCCACCCCTAAACTCTCCTTGGTTGGCAGGATGTCTGTCAGACTGGACAGAGGAAGAAAAATATAATTATACAAAAAGATAAACTGCATTGGATCAATGTGTTCTTTTACCCTGTGAGCCTTAAAAGCCACTTGCAGGTTTTAAAGTCATGTTAATGTTAGAATACAAATCGCCTAAATTACAAAGTTTATTAGAACCAGAAACTTTGAAAACAGAATTGGTCAGATTTTCAATTTTCTGACGGTCCAAAAACAAATCACATGTGATGTACGAAGCTAAAAAGCTGTGATATCTCATCAAAATCACGTTATCCTACACGTCTTATTTAAAAGTTCACCAAAAATGTGTCGGCTCTAACCAGATTGTGTACAAAAAAGAAAAAAATTCTGTGGTCCTCAGCACAACCAAGAAGACATGAGTAAATTAGTCACAAACGACAGTTGTGTGACCAAGATTCCAGGATTTTTCGGTTTAACTGCAGACTGTGTTTACACTAAGCAGATAGAACACAAGTACTGAAACAAATTAGAAATCAGTCAATCCATGTCATTCTGATTATCTGTGTTCTCTTAAATCCCATCCATGGTTGTGTTGCTTTCACAGAGGTGCAGGACTTTATATTGCAGAGAAAAATAAGCCCTCCATCCAATATCTATACACCGCTTAATCCTTATGAGGATCGCCGGGGGGCTGGAGCCTATCCCAGCTGACTTAGGGCGAAGGCAGGGGACACCCTGGACAGGTCACCAGTCTATCACAGGGCTACACTTAGAGACAGACAACCAAGCACACTCACATTCACACCTACAGACAATTTAGAATCACCAATTAACCTCAACCTCAAGTGAAAAAAACAAAACATAAAGACTTTTCACAAGAACATGGACATGTGAAAACCGTTAGTGAACCTATTCTTACTTGTGACTGGAGTTCCTTGTATAATTGGCATGTAGGATCTCTTCAGGGTCCAGCTGCCAGTTTTTCATAGTGCCTTTGACCAGGCCAGAGACCACCATGAACAACAACACTAAGATGTTGATACATGTAAAAACCTTGTTCACCATTGCCGATTCTTTGACCCCAAATGCCAGCAGACCTTAGACATGGAGACAAAGAGAAAGAAAATGAAAACTTTGGTGGAAAGTTGTCTTACAAAAGTTGAGCTCTCAGATTTGTCAACTATACATTCACACTAAATATCCTCTTCTGCAGTGATGTCAATGTTACAAGTGTTCAAAGTTCAATGACGGGAAACTGCTTATCAGCAAAAACAAAAATGCTTAAGCAAAAAGAAGACGACACGTTTTCCTACCTGTCAGAGTGATAATAATGAGAACTGCAAACATGTCAGGATACTGTGCCAGCACTCCCGGTGCATTCATGGACATGTACTCTCTGCAGAACTGCTCTATGCGCTTCCCTACCAACTCATCGAAGGTGGCGCTCCATGCACGGGCCACACTGGAGGTACCTGGCATGAAGCGAGAACAGTTGATTTTAATACGAGGAGTGTCAGAAATGTTCCAGAACTGGTGTCACAAACGATATATTTCAAACCCAAACTCCAAACTACAGGTTTTCCCCTTCAGACGATCAACCAGCACGTCTACACAGAGATCCTGCGGCGTTTGCTTCGTTCAGTGCGCGAGAAGAGGCGAGAGTTGTGGCAGGACAAGTCGTGGCTGCTTCACCATGACAACGTGCCTGCTCATAATGCCCTGAGCATTCGACAGTTCCTGGCTGAGAAGAACATCGCTGTGCTGGAACCTCCTTCCTGCTCCCCCCTGGTTGTTTTGTGTTTTTTTCTCCTTTTCCGGCTGCTGGGGGTGGTCATGGGGGGGCGTTTTTTTGACGTGGAGGACGTCATGATGATGGTTGTGATGGCGGTGCTGTGGATGCTGGTGGAATCCTTCTTGGAGTGGTTGGTGGCGTGGTGGCGGCGGCTGGTGGGGTGTTTTGTTCTCCTGGGGGGTTATTTTGTTGGGGGGGACTTGTTGTCTTTTGTTTTTTTTTTTTGTATTTTTTTTTTTGTGCCAGTCGTCCTCGTGTTTTTTTTTGTCAGGTAGTCTTTTTTTTTCCTAGGTGGTGCCACCAACCTCTTTCTGGACATTAACTACAACTTGGCAAACAGGAAACAACACAGTGGGGTTTACCAATAATGTAGGAGAGGATAAGGTTCCATCCAGTGATGAAGGCCCAGAGTTCTCCTACAGTCACATAGGAGTAAAGGTAGGCCGAGCCCGTCTTGGGGACACGAGCTCCAAACTCAGCATAGCAAAGACCAGCCAACACTGAAGCTAAAGCTGCTATCAGGAAGGACAGCACAATAGCAGGACCTAGAGAAGTGGCAATGAAGACCATGAAGTTTAGAGCTTTAAGATTTGTCTCACAGCACATGTTTTCAGCATTTACAGTAATGTTAAGGTACCTGAATTCTCCCTTGCAACGGCACCAGCTAGCACATAAACACCAGCGCCCAACGTGCTGCCAACACCCAGGGCCACCAGGTCAAAGGTGTTGAGGCATCGGGACAGACGGGAGTCCTCTGAGTTACAATTTACCACCTTCACCCTCAGCAACTGTTTCCCGAAGCGCAGCAGCGTCCCCAGCGCCATCGATGAGAGTCTGGCCTCAGGGAGGGGAGGGGGAGAAGATCTTCTGGGGTTCGGAGGTCACAGGGGAGAAGGGGAGAGGCCACACACGCCCTGATGGGAGGGCAGAAGAACAGAAGTGTGTCACTTATTCAGTTATTTCCTGTCATCAGTTTCTGCATGAGCGGAGGCAACGCCTGCTCTGACTGGTGTAAGAAAACATCAAAGAATATTTGGACAGAAATACGCAGAAAAAGTGCAATTTGCTGCTCCAGTAGTGAGTCATGTGTCTGTGCGAGTATATAGAAGTTACTGTTGCAATCACATCTATAAATACTGGCTGCACAGCGGCAACACAGTGGAGCATTACAGATCTAGCAAAGGGGGTTCACTTGTGCCTGACAAACTTGTCGAAAGTAGAACACGGTTTCCTGCTGCGTTACATAACGCAACCCAAATCCACAATGTGTGACTGTTAGCCAAAAAAACTCAGGGGCCTATAGGGATAATCCATCTTATTGCTGGATATGTTGCTGACATATATTACATAACACATCTCAACTCACAGGAGAGGAGGAGAAGCATTTGAACAGACTGTACAACACAAAAAAGAATCATGACACAGAAGCACTTTAGCGATACATGCTGTGGAGGTTCGTCGCATTGTGTTACTCCCACACTTAGCTGAAGAAACAGATGCGATCCCGACTGTTACTGTTTACCCCTGTTTGGGAACATACAGTTCAAACAAGGGTAATCCACCACTTGCTTTCTTCGCTTAATGAAATGGAAATACGGAAAAAATGTGTTGAGTTAAAGTCAACCGAACATCTTTTAATATTTGATAGGCACATTCTCTTATTTTAAGAATAACGTTTGCTTTTTTGAGAATGATAAAGAAAATAAGACAATAAAAAGGTGGTAAAATTAAAGTTGTACTATTTATTTCTGCACAGTTTTGGAGGTCACAAAACAGAAAATGGTCAAAATTGAAAGTCTGAAGGACCGAGGCATCCTGACTTCAATGTGGGTCAAGCTCCAAAAACACTGGATCCTACAATTCTCAAAGAGCCAACAAGTCAATAGCGTCTTTCATCAAATCCTTCGTGCCCCTTAAATTTCTCCTTTAAAAAACACACCTCCAGTCTCTCGCGCAGACTTTCTGTTATTGAGTTTAATCCTCGAGCCAAAGCCAAACTTGAGACAGTTTCTCTATAACCACAGAAGATATTACTCATCTGTTTTCACAGGCTGAGAAGCACTGCTCGTGACCAGAGATCCGGGCCTTAAGAGTAAAATCAGTGCAGCCATCGGTCACGTTAAGGATGCTGAAACTCTCAATGGAAGTGTATTTGAGTTTTCAGACCTAAACAGGCTTATGTATATATATATATTTTTTATTATTGTTGTTTTTTTGTTGTTAAGACTAGGAAGCAATGAGCAACTCGCCCAGTTTCAAACTGTCGCTCTACCCTCTAGAGACCAAACACAGCTGTAAGGCTTCTTCCCTAAGTGGCTGTAGAGAAGATTCTCTGGGTCAGTAGTCTGTCCAACATCTCATGCACATTCCCCAGTGCTTAGCTCACACGCGAGGAGTTAATACTTGATATTTGGAAGGAGAAAAAACATTATGTAGGGCACATGGAGGAATGGAAAACGGAAAAAAAAGAGGGGAGGGGGTATAAACAATGTCCTGCAGTGATGCAAGTTAAGTGGTGGCATGTCCTGTGGAAAAAAGTGCTGGGATTGAGTGAGTGACATGAAGTGGCATGACGCCATGATACATTTGTAGATAGTGGCAACTTGTCAGAACCCACTGAAGTGAGGACATAAACCCAAGTGGATCATGTGGACACTGCAACTGTCATGCTACACCTCATGGAAACTTCCACATAAGGGTAAGCTGAGGTGACGACCTTGTAGTCTTTATTTTTCTTTAGGAAATATTTAGGCTCAAATACAATTTTCCAAGCTGACCTATTAGACCACATGTGGAAGAAATACACTTAGTTTTATATGTTATAAAATGTCCAATAAATACACTTTTATACAAAAAAAAAGCTAAATTTTGCAGCAGGATAATTTTCCAGTGTTCCTGGACGACAAATTGATACCAGACTAAGATGAGTTGCTAAAATCACAATACTTTGAAAACTTCAGTATCGTATGCATAAGCCATATAGCAATATTTTGTAAAATACGATTTTATAATGCGGTTGAACTAGTCTCAATAGATCCAATAAAAATACACGCTTCAAAAGAAGAACATTTCTGTTGTAAATTAAAAAAGAAAGCTTTCCTGCATTTAGAAGCTGCATCAATGCTGAAGTCCTGCCATAATGAAACAACTGTTTGATGCTGCATCAGATTGTCCATCATCATCAGGCTAAAATCACTATTCAGAAGACATTAAAGTCGATCTCTTGCACACGCAGCTGTGTCGTTCGGGTCACTATTGTTTACATGGTGGCGCTGAGCTTGGTGTTTAAAGTCAGAAACACAACCCATTAGATGTTCTTTATATCTGATGTGGAAAGACTTACACAGATGCACATCTCTCTATCGCATGAGAAGTCGCGTTATGTGTGTTTTAATTGGAGCTGCAACAACAGGTCGATTGAATATTAAGGGGAGTAAAGTGATCAGCAGCTGTTTTGATGCTGGATTAAATCAAACCTGAGCAACATGTGATCATTTTTCTCGCTTCCTTAAGTCTTCTGTAGTGAATCTTTGGCTGTTAATCACACACCTGATGGTCAAAAATTAGATTAATATGAAACATAATCAACTTGTTAAACAATGATGAAGATTTTCATTACAGTGTAAGCATTTTAAACATTTTGTGGCATATACTATATGCCATACTGACATGAAAGACCTGCACTGATTTCTTAAATGTGCAGGTGCCTCTTGAGAAGAATCACACCCCACTGAAACTCAGTGCAGACACAGCAGCAGAACAATCACCTGAGCAACTGTACTGTTAACAAAAACACATATAATCCATTAAATTACTGGACTAAACCAGCGGCATTAAGACTGCTGAGCTAATGCTTACGTGTTATTCTGCCAAGACGAATAAGCAGCTGATTATTACAGCCGCTCTCATACGCACACCAATATTGGGAAAAAAAACAAACAGGGAAGTTCGTAGATGAAAGCTCAGAATAGAAATACTATTCAAATGTGTAAATATAGAAACAAACACAGGAACAAACACAAAAGAAAGAAGCTATATGAAGCACGTGGCCCCTCACTGACAGATTACGCAACTGCAGAAGTCGTCTGTCAACACAACTCACCAGACTAAATAATGAAACCTTTGACAGAAAAAAAAATAAAAATCTTTAAAACAACAGTTAAAAGCAGGAAACATATGTGAAATACACCTGCTGCAGATCATGTCCAAACGGCAGCAACCTGCTTCCTGCATTAGCAGAATAAGACAAAACAGTGAGTACTTACTTGGAGCCACCTACTCAAACTCTTCACCTGTTGATCTGTGCAGAAAGTTTGAAGTGAGATGACAGACAGAGGGATTTAACAGCACATTTGTTGACTATTCTTAAAGCTGCTGTGAAGACTGCCGAGTGTTTGACGGTCGGCGTTCTGAAATAGAACCTGGAAGAATCACATGGCTTAGCTATTCCCAGCAGCACACACTCACACATGCACGCACAAGCGCGGCCAAAATGTAGCCGTAGTTGGATGACCATGAAAATCTTAGGAAATGCATTTTTTACAGTAACAAGTCTGGATATGCACAGACTCTTACATAACCACACTGTTGCAGTCGCATACTTACAAACGGTCACACAGTAACCTAGTTTATCTATAGGAGCAGCAACTTTGGGACAGAAATAGCAACGAGTGGCTGCATCCAGGCAAGCATGTATATAATATGCACACTTTATTTAAAGTCATTATAATGAAAAAAATACCAAAATACCAAAATGCTCAGAGGTGGAGGGATTAAAGTCACAAAAACCTTGCAAAATTCAGGCTTTAGAAAGCATGTTCCCTTCTTATCTTAGTGTACAGACACGCACACAAACATGACCCGCTGCCAGTTTAAAAATGATTTGGCATAGAGTACAGTAGATGAGATGTTAAAATAAAAAAAGAGGCGATGCCCAACCGTGGGAGGGTGTAGCTGTACAGGAAAGGGGGTGTGATCCTTCGGAACCAATGAACGTACACCACAAATACAACGCCGCTTGGCATTTAGGTCAGCAATCTAATGGGTGAAACAGTCATTTTCAAAACTACTAAACTAACTGGATTTAAGATGAAACCCATCGTATAAACACCAGATCAACAGCAGATTCATAGAACTAGAAGATCGATTTGGCTTGACGTAGATTCCCTCAGTTACTCCACAACACGAAGGCATTTAAACAAACACCCACTCCTGTTGCAACACTGTCAACTTTCTCAGATTTGTCTGTACTAACCTGTAAAAAATAAAATGAAGAGTTCATTTGCAAAAACAGATAACTCCATCTTCACAAACCTTCAGAAAACCCACTTTTCCATCGTCTACCTGAGACAATATCAATCAAAATGAAGCTTTAAGAATAGTCAACAAATGTGCTGTTAAATCCCTTTGTCTGTCATCTCAGTTCAAACTTTCTATTTTTGTTATGTAATTTAAGCTGAGTCAAATCCACTGAACTTCAGTTTGATTGATGTTATCTCAAGCAAACAACAAAAAAAATACGTTTTCGGAAAATCTACAACAATGGAGTTATCTGTTTTTGCAAATGAACTCTTCAAATAACTAAAAAAAATACACAAAAAAGTTGGACTGATTGACATGATTTCATCTTACCAGACTAACAAAAGTTATGAAAAGGACCATTTATGGACGATTTGGTAAAACTGTCGTTGAAGAATGATAATCTGCAAGAACATCAAAATTAACAAAGAAACAAGCCTGCATCTACATGCCTACATGTTATATAAAGTGACTAAAAATCAAATGAGCATACACTCACAGTGAGTGTCCAGCTCACAGTCTGTAGCTGTAGCAGGTGGGTTCACTGAGGAAGGAGAACGGCATGCATCGGCGGATTGATGACAGCTGCTTGTTGACATTTCCCATCTGTTTCCATCCCATGCATCTTTGCGTATACATGATACTAATCAACTCTGCAACGTCCACATGTCTGAATTACAATTATAATTACTATATGAACAGCCTATAAGCATTAATACCACGTGTTTACTTATGTTTGGAATAATGTCCTGGTGTCGTCTTAATTAGCTGACACAGGTTTTTATCTGTGTCTGCGCCGGCAGATGCAAGTGTTGTGTTGGCTGCTGTCACACTGACCGTGATGGACGGGGTTCAAAGGGTGCATGACTGGGTCACCTTGAACCTGTCATTTGTGTGAACATGAACAAGAAGCGTTGCCAAGAGTAGGGCTGGACAGGCTCAGGCCGTGTCAGACTGACCATCACTAAACCTAATATAGGCATTTTTTTCAGCAGTTTTTAGTGCTAATTGTTGTCCGGTGACCAATTAAAAGGATGTCAAAGTCGGTGTAATTGACCTTTGATAGTTGCATGTGAACATGTTTTTGTGCACTGTACACTCGCTGTGGCTGAGCATAGTCGTGTAAAGGTTCAGATGTCTTAGTGAAACAAAAATGTGGCAGCTAATTGAAATCTCAAAACAAATATCCATAGAAAGATATTTAAAGAATCCAAAACTGGAAGATATGTATAAAAATGAAGAGTTCATTTGCAAAAACAGAAAACTAAATTTTTGTAGATTTTCAGAAAACTTGTTTTTTTGTTGTTTGCATGAGATAGTCTGAAGTTGAGTGGATTTGACTCAGTTTCAATTACATAACAAACATAGATAACTTCATTTTGATTGATATTGTCTTAGGTACACAATGGAAAAGTGGGTTTTCTGAAGGTTTGTGAAGATGGAGTTATCGGTTTTTGAAAATGAACTCTTCAAATATTCAGAAGTTTTTTTCCCCATTACAATGATCTCTTCTTGCCTTGAAAGAGTTTCATTCATTTATTCTGCATGTGCATGACTGCAAGGACGTGTCACCCACTAAGCCTGTGTGCAGTCCAAAATCTGCAACTACATGGACTGTTCACACTGCAACTGTGCCGACTGCAAATGCTGCAAGAAATGTTGCTTCAAACAAATGTTGAAAAAAAGAAGAGGATAAAGAGTTGTCATTGAAGTAGTTGATGTTGGACTTCGCTGGAGGTGCTTTCTAACAACACTGGCCAAACAAAGTGGAAAGTTCTAAATTCTCCAGAAGCCCTGTGCGATGAGCACCCACTGTCCTCGACACACCTCACGAATACTTGCACTGACACAGTCCTACAGCACAAAGGCTGCTATGTCGTGTAAAAAGTGCCAAGTCACAGCCAGTCGGTCAGAAACATCCGTGAGAGTCTTTTGTGCCTTTCTGACACGTACCTACTGGAAAGCATGAATTGGCTCTTAGATGTAACTCTACACCTTTGCCTCCTTCAGAATGTGTGGATCTGTGAGGTTCCCACCTCATACTCCACCCACCCTGTCACCGCTCACCACAGCTTCAACCAAACAACCAACTACTCTACACGAGATCGAAACTGATTCTCAAGAGGAACAATAATTTGGAAAGCCCTACCCCCTAAGCTTACAGGACTGGTTTGTTAAATATGAAACCTCAGAAATCTGAACCCACGTTTTTGAGCCGAGCTTTGGCACATATCCAAGGTGGAAACACTCAGCCATGGCATTGACTGTTTATTAGCTCATGATATGTCTTCTGGCATATAAAAAATGGCAGATTGACATGTCAACATAGTAAAAAGTTTTAGAGTGTCTTTAACAGTCACTACTATGGACAAGCTCTTTTGGGCCTCCATCACCATGATGAACCAGTAAGTCACCTGTTCTGCTATCGTTTCCACAACTGTAATCTCTGCAATCTTGTTGCTCTTTCAAATGATAATAAAGCTCACCTCAAATGGCCCTAATACATAGGGCCATTTGAGGTGAGCTTTATCATCAAGGAAAGGCCTGCAGAGGCCTACACAGAGATGACATTTGCTATGAAGGGATTACAAAAAATACATGGAAATTGACGAGGAACGCCATCAGGAAAAGCAAACACCATGCAACAGCTTGTAATGTAATAGAAGGATACAAGCAAAGCCCCAGTTATGGCACTGTATTAAGCCAAAAACCCAACACATGATGCAACAATTACATGAATGTGTCAGACTGTAATGTTTCCTAAATAAATAGAGATACACAATGACAGAAAACCAGGACCACAGGTCACTACAACTAGAGTGTATTCTTAGTGTAGAATGTCTGTCTCCAGTAAACTCAAACCCTTGAGTGTCTATCAGTTCCCTGGCAGGCAGATTTAACCGTAAAACCACGTAATACTTCACAGTCAAACTTTAAGACATACGAAACTAAACGCTTTTGACAAAGGAAGAATGTCAGGCAAAGGTGCCCTCCACCTGTCTGCACAGATAACAATCCAACTGTCAACCCTGGCTCTGGACAGAAATGTCATCACATATTTTAACAAACAAAGGCTTAACCATTTACTACGATTCAGTTCAACTGCAGAGGCAGTTGAATTTCATAGGTCAGGATTCAGGAACCAGCCCATCTATGTTACTCTCAGATAAAGTTCAACCAATGATTCTAAAATGCTGATGGCTGCTTGCCTCATACGCAAGGTTGCGAGTGACTGAAAGAATGCAAAATGTCCTGTTATCTCTCCCTAACACTGCGAGCTCTTGGAAGGAATGGTGAACATATGTTTTTAGGTTGTAACAAACAATTATTTTATTTAGTTTATGGTCTATAAAATATCAGAAAATTCTCGGTTATAATGTTTGGACATCTGAAGGTAATGTTTTATTTTGTGTTTTGTCTGACCGACAATATAAAAATGAAAAGATATTCAGTTTATAGTCATGTGTGACCAAAAAAAGCAGCAATTCCTGACATTTAGGAGAACAGAACCTGCAAACGGTGGAATTTATGCGTTAAAAAGATAAAACTAATTAAATTATTTGTGTTGTTGCTTGACTAATCAACCAGGAGTTGCTGTTATTTTTTCAGAAGAACATTAGTCATCCTGTTTACCAGTTTTTAACTTTTAACGGATACAATATTCCTATTTTTTAAAGGCAAAGACAAATTTTTAAACTAATTCACTAAATATGCTCCTCTAAGAACAGCTTTCCCATAATAAACAACAAACAAAAATCATAAGGTATATTTTAATGTGTCATATTTGTGGATCCTGCTGTTGTGCTCATATTATTAATTACTATATGGACAGCATACGAGGTATTACTTGGCCATTATTAGTTTATAAGAACACAGTTAGCAATTAAAGAAAGCTGGTTAAGGGCAACACTGCACATTGAAAACAAAGTTCTCAGAATCTCAATCTATTTCCAGCAGATTATCACTTCCGGAAGCATGAATACACAATGTGCGCGTGTGTTCGTGTTACTCAACATCGTAATAAGCCCCTGATCCATGTTTTGTACACA